GCTGTTGGTTTATAATATTTGATCAAAACCTCCTCTTTCTCCTACCAACAGCTCTAATTACCGTCATTCTATTCTCTGTCTCTATGAGTTTGACTTTGTTAGGTTTCACATCTAAGTGAGATCTTGTAATGTTTGTCTTTTTTTTTTTACCTGGTTTATTTCACTGAAAATTTTTTTCAAGTTCATCCATATTACCATAAATAACAGAATATCTTTATTGTTTACAAAACTTGATAAATATTCCACTCTGCACATTTCATTTAGTCGCTCATCTACTGATGGGCATTGAGTTTTACTCCATACCTTAGCTCTTCTGAACATGCTGCAATGAAGAAGGAAGTGCAGATAAACATGCTCTTAGGATCTGTACCCAGAAGCACGCCTCCTGGATCATATTTTAGTTCTATTTTTATTTTCTCATAGAATACCTGCTCTGCTCTCCATCATGGATCTTCTAATTTACATCACCATGAACTGTGTGGAGGGTTCCCATTTTAAAATATCTTTAAAATATCTTATATGTATTTTTTTCTTTTTCATACTAGTCATTCTAGCAGGTGTAAAGTGATATATCAGTGTTGTTTTAATTTGCCTTTCCCTGAAAACAAGTTATATGTCTATTGACCACTTGTAAAAAAAAATATTATGATCCATTGTCCGTTTTTAATTAGGTTATATTTTTATTTTTTTTTACCTCTTTTTTTTATTGTTGGTTGTTCAAAACATTACATAGTTCTTGATATATCATCTTTCACACTTTGCTTCAAGTGGGTTATGAACTCCCTAGGTTATATTTTTAATATTCACTGATTAAACTTCATGTGTATCTTGGATACCAACCCCAAATCAGATGTATAGTTTGCAAATAACCCTCCCTGTCATTTGCTATTATCTTCATTTTTGATTTTTTCCTTTGCCATGCAGGAGTTTTTTTGGTTTGTTTTGATTAGAAAATATAATCCATTTACATTTAAGGCTTAGGTATGGACTTCCTGGTGGCATTTCTTACATTGTTTTCTGCATCATTTTTGTTCCTTTTCTGTCTTTCTTTGTGATGAGATGATTTTCTATGATGGTATGTGAATCCCAGAGTACTTCCTTATATTTCTTTGAGAACTGAAATAGACCCTATTTATTATTGCATTATCCTTGACCACACCCATGAATTCTTCTACCAAGAATTTACTAATCTGGCCTCTCTCTTTCCCTTGCTCGGGGCTTCATTTTTCTACATGCATTCACAGAAATACTAGCTCTGACAGCAGGTAGATTAGATCAAAACTCACCATGAATGCAATACTCTTCTGTCTGATGTTACAAAGGATGGGGCATTGTTTTCCTGGATTTCCAGGCCATAGTAGAGTTAGGCTCCCTAGAATGTATCTTCATTTATTCTATACTTACAGAATCATTAAATTCCAAAGTAGAGGTGACTGATAAAAATCAGTTAATTCAGCATTTGTTCTGAATGTGTAACTTGGCTCTGTACTCTTCATTAAGTAGAGATCTCAACTTTTGGACGGTTCTTAGTGGAAACAAAGGGAGCCTATTCCATTTTCACCCTCCTCTAACCATTCTTTTTAATTCTTGCTTTGAAAAGTCTTTTTTCTCTTTAAATTTTTACCCATTGTTTGTGTGTTCTCTCTCTCTCTCTCTCTCTCTCTCTCTCTCTCTCTGAAAGAGAGCTGAACAAACTTAATTCCCTGCTGTATACAACAAGAACATGTTGTATACATTAGTATAAAGAGAAGAACTCAGAAGAGAAGATAGAGACAAGCAAAGGTATGTGTGATACTAACATGGAGACGCCACATACAGGCAGCATCACTAAGAAAGGCAGAGTAGGGGCTGTTGAGTAGGTGGTGCAGGAGAGATTTGCTCAAACAATGAAGCAAGAGAACCACATCAAATAGTGGCTTCTAGATGGATTAACATTCCAAAATGAAATGTAAAATTAAACCTTAATAAGTAAAATGTAGAATGTGGACATGAAGCTAAAATCTCCTTTTCTGAAAATACATTTAAAGAAACACAAATAAAGTTATCAATATTTGTGTTCTTTTATGTACACCATGGACCAAGATAAATGACAGCTTAGGAGATAACATTAACAATGTCTAAATATGACAAGGCAGTTTATCAAGAGTATAATATAAACTCCTACTAATCATCAACACAAACAGTCAGAAAAATTTCAAAAGGGGCCAAGGACATCAAAGAGAAAACTCAGATAGAAACATGTATTGGAAGCAATAAAAAAAGTTTCAACCTATCAAAGCAATATAAATATTAACAAGATTATGCCACTTTTCAACTTTCAAACAAGCCATATTAGAAGGTTAGATAATGCCATGTGTTAACAATATTGATGGGAAAATAACTGCAATGGTATAGTTTTCACTGGTGGGGACCCTCCAGCAAGATCTGGCTGTACTCACTGTAGCTGAGCATACATACACCCTTCATCACAGCAGTTCAGATCTTGGGTTGATACTCACAAAAGTATATAGGGAGCATGTGTTTGTTGCATCAGTGTTACAGTGAAGAGAAGCTGGAGGAACACACATGCCTCACTGTGATAATTAAAGGGGAAAATCTTGTGTACGTGCTTTCAGGAATCCGTAAAGCAACTTGAATTAATATAAAGATAATAAAACTCAATTGTTTTCATCATTTTTTGTTCCTCCTTTTTCATGTCTATAACGTAATCCTTAGAAATAATGACATAAATATACATGTAGTAGGACAAATCATTCTGAGAGGAAAAGATTTTTTTAAAAAGACATATAATAATAATTTTGTTTCTTTGAATGTATATTATAAGTGGAGTGCCGCAGTCTGGCTGGGCACAATTCAGGAGCCACTTGTCAAAAGAAAGGAACTTTATTTTTAGAACCACACATGCCAAACAAAACAGCTCCTCAGGAAAAACCTTCAGAGCCCAACTGCCACCACCGACTTCCCACAAGCCTCTCCTCCTCCCCCACTCCTCCTGCTCTTGAGGCCGATTGGCTGGGTCCCGTGGGCGGAGCCAAAAAAGTCCCCCAATGAGCAGCTCCGTGGTCTGAAAGGGCAGGGAAACAGCCCAATGAGCATCACCGCAGAGGAGCCAATCAGTTGGCAGCTAGAAGTTGCTGGGGCCGCTGTGAGCCAATCATCAGCTGGCAGCTGGAAGTTTGCTGGCAGCTGGAAGTTTGCTGGCAGCTGGAAGTTTGCTGGGGCCCCTTCTGCTATGGCTCTCAACAGTGGAGTATCTCTTATCCTAAATGCTTGGGACCCAAGTGTTGTAGATTACTGATTTTGCAATATTTACATATACTTGATGAAATATCTTGGAAGGGTACCCATGTCTGAACATAAATTCATGTATGTTCCAAACACACCCTTATGGTTTAAATATGAGGTGTGCCCTAAAAGCTCAATAGATAAATCAAAATGATAGAGTTATGAGGGCCTTAATCAGTGTGTTAATCTCCTGATAGGGCTTAATTTGGTGTTAACTATAAGCAGGTAGGGTGTGGCTGGAGGAGATAGGTCATGTGGATGTGTCCTTGGGGTTTGTAATTTGTCCATGAGGGGAGCCCTCTTTCTGTCTGCTTCTTAGTGGCCGTGTTCTGACCTGCTTTCCTCTACCACACTCTTCCACCATGATGTTCTGCTTCCCCTTGGATCCCAAGCAGTGCAGTCAGCCATCTATGGTCTAAGACCTCTGAAACCATGAGCCCTCAAATAAACTTTTCCTTCTCTAGCTGGTCCTATGAGGTCTTGTTTACAGCAGAAAAGCTACTAAAACACTCACCCAATACACCTAATCCAAAGCACGTTTTACATATCATTTCTTAAGCTCTTCTGTGAGAAATACATTTCTATTATATAGAATTTTTCAATTGACCAATATCAAAAAGTTTCAAACTTAGAAGATTTCAAGTATTATATTTTGTAATTGGGAGTACACAACTATGTAATGACCCCTCTTGGGACTTCAGTGGGATGAAATGATTTGCCGACATACAAAATAGTACAAATGACAATATGGTTGTGAGTGACAGAAGTAATGAAAATGGGAATAAAAAAGAATTGCAAGAGAATAAATCAAATGACATGTTAAACAATAAGTAAAAATGGAGTAACTCAAATGACATGTTAAACAATAAGTAAAAAATAGTTCCCTGTGTGAACCCAGGATAATGTCAGAGAAATAGTGGAATATATTGAAATAAGTACCTACTCTGGAAGAAAAATAGATGTGACGACATAAATTGTGCACCATCCACCCTAGAATTACTGAAACACATACACCTATGCACTTAAGCTTTTATCCCTCAGGCTTTTATCCTTTCCCTTGGGAGCCAAGACGTATGACACTTTGGCACAGATTGGGGCTGGCAGGCACACTGTCCAGAGGATCTTCCCCTTCTATTCTTCAATTCATGCAGACATGAATTTTTGAGTGTGATATTTATTTTCGTGTAAATTATAGCAGTAATGTAACACTATTGAATTAGAACACATAAGAAAGGGATACTATTTAGATCTAACCATGTATATAAATATATACATACATTTATATTTATGCATATCTGTAGCCAACAGAAGTTGAAAACAAATATGCAAAAATAATTGGTGACACTGATACAAAGGAGGCCAGACATCTTAGTAAATAAATTAATTTATTAGGAAACTGCTATTTTTGTTCCATTTTTTGTATATGCCAATTATACAATCCTCCTGTGCTTCTGAAGACAGCTACAGTATAGTATACAGAGAAGGATATAAGAATTTATGTTTGAACATTCAACAAAATACCATCTGTCTTCAGTGATATAAGGAAACTACTCAATCTACTTCAAGTTCAAACAGATATTGCGATGTTCATTCAGGAGTCCAGCAGACAATGATCAATCTTTTCTTCAGTTTGAAGTTAATGGATGGAGAGGATTTCAATTGAACTTGCTTGTGGAGTGGTCATTTCAAGGGCAGAGGATGACTTGTTGCAATGATTAGCAGCAAGAGGAATAGCGTCTTCTGTAGCTGCAGCAGCCAGAGCGATATCCACAGCCAGATCCATATCTACAGCCAGAGCCACAGCCACAGCCAGACTTGTATCCATAGCCAGAGCCGTAGCCACAGCCACATCCATATCTAGAGCCACAGCCAGAGCCACAGCCACAGCCAGATGTGTATCCGTAGCCAGAACCACAGCCACAGCCATATCCACAGCCATAGCGAGAGCCACATCCCCATCTAGAGCCATATCCACAGCCAGATCCATATCTACAGCCTAAGCCACAGCCACAGCCAGCATTGTATCCATAGCCAGAGCGACAGCTACAGCCATATCTAGAGCCACAGCCAGAGCCGTAGCCGCAATCATAGCCTCCACAGGAGTTCCCGTAGTAGTTGCTACACATGGTGTCAGGAGGTGAGGTTTCAGTGGAGGGGTTGAAGGATGCTTCTAAAGTGCGAATGTCACCCAGTCCCTCAGGACCTTTATATACTAACAGGATTGGATGTGTCATAGCTCACATGGGCTCTATTTCTCATTTTCCAACCATGTGCCTAAACTGAGTTTATATGTGCACATTCATTTTGATAGGAATCATAATCTAGTTCCTGCTGGTCTAGGTATTTTCACAACCTATAAGGAAATAAAGGTATATTTTCTGTACAAACTTATGTAAATATAATTGTGTCTTCCATGATTTCATTCATGACCATGGCATAATGGAACACATCACCAAAATATGTGACCTATAGTTATGTGTTTTGTTGTTCTTCACTCATTAAATGACTTAGAAATTATATATTTTAAAATTCCAGAGAAAGATTTTCTAAAAGATATATAGTAATATTTTTGTTAGTTTAAATATGTAATGCAGGTCAAGTACCAATCTTAAATGCTTGGAAATTAAAGGTTGACTGCTGATTTTGCAACAATTAAGTGTATGCCTAATGAAATATTTTGGAGATGTTACCCATGCCTGAGTACAAAATTCATGTATGATCCAAACACACCTAATGCACATAACTGGAGGCTAATTTTCTTGCATTATGTTTTATGCATTTCTGCCTGATTTTCCAATTGACAAAAATAAATAAGTTTTGAATTTGGAGAATTTCAAATGGCAGATCTTTCTTCTTTTATTTTTCTCCTTTTTATTGGTCCATATTAATTTCACAGAATCCTGATTTCACTGTGGTATTTCCACATATACATGAATACATAATTTATAAATTTCACTCCTGAATACCTCCCCTGTGTTTTCCTACTCCCTCTTCTTATCCCCTTTCTGTACTCTAATAGTCTCATTTTCATTTTCCTGGTGTCCCTGTTATATTTTTCCTGTTCCTCAAGTTTTTACATATGAGAGAAAACATATACCTTTCTTTCTTACTTCACTTAACTTTTTGGTCTCCAGATTCATCTATTTTCCTGCAAAGACATAATTCCATCCTTCTTTGTAATTGAGTTAAACATCATTGTTTTATAAACACATTTTCTTCATCCATTCATCTGTTGTCAGACACCTAGACTGACTCCATAACTTGACTAATGTAAACTGTGCTGAATAAATATGAGTATGTGTGTATCTCCAATGTATGCTGCCTTTAATTCTTTCCAATAAATACTGAAGAGTGGTATGGTTGAATCATATGGTAGTTCTATTTCTAGCTCCTAATGGCACTCCACACCGATTTCCACAGTGGCTGTACTAATTTACATTCCCACCAACAGTGTATAAAGTTCCTCTCCACCATCCTTATGAACATCCTTTGTTAATTAATATTTTTAAATTTTTTGGTTGTAGATGGACACAATACCTCTATTTTATTCTTTTTTTTTTCAAATGTAGTGCTGAGGATCCAACCCAGTGTCTCACACATGCCAGGCAAGTGCTCTACCACTGAGCCATAACCCCTGCCCTATTAATTGAATTGTTGATAATTGCCATTCTAACTGGATTGAGATGGAATCTCATTGTAGTTTTGGTTTGTATTTCCCTGATGGCTAAAGATAGTGAACATTTTTTGTTCTATTTGTTGACTATTTGTACTTCCTTGTTAGAGAAATATCTGTTCAACTTACTCTCCAATTCATTGACTTTGTCTTTTGTTTTTTCAATGTTGAGTATTTGGGTTCCTTTCATATTCTGGATATTAATCATCTGACAGAAGAATAACTAGCAAAGATTTTCCTCCATTCTATCAATTGTCTCTTCACTCTTAACATTAAAGCCAATCACTTTTGTACTAATGCATTAGCTTCATAACTAGATTTCATTTCACACTGATCTTCCTAGTCTAACCCTTTTCACATAAGTTCAACATTGTCTGTTACCAGTTTCTTGTGCTGTGCAGAAACTTCTTAGTCAATTCATTAAGTCTTGTTCTTATTTCCTTGGTTAGAGGTATCCTATTCAGGAAGTCTTTGCTTTGCCTGAAGATTTTGTGATTGGGAGTACTCAACCTATATAATGACCACTCCTCTTAGGATTCTAGTGGAATAAAATGATTTGCATGCATATAAAATAGCATAGCTAATAATATGGCTGTGAGTGACAGATGATAATGACAATGTGAACAAAAGAGAATTACAAGAGAATAAAACAAATAACATGTTAAATATAAAATAAAAATGGAAAAGATCCCTGTGTGAACCTATAATAATATAATAAAAATAATGGAATATATTGAGGTGACTCTGCCACCCTTGAGGAATTTTTTTTATGTAGGAAGACATCAATTTTGCACCAGCTCAAACTATAATTACTGATAGACAAACGCTGTGTACGTAAGTGTTTTCTTCCTTGGTCTTTTATCCTTTCCTGTGGGACCCATAACCTATGGAACTTTGGCAAAACCCATAGCAAGACTGGGGAACATGGAGATCCTTGCTCTTTGAGATTTTCTTATGCAATTGACGTAGACTTATGGATTCACCCTACGATTTCTTGTCTCATATTTTTTTAAAATTTCACCCTTAAATAAGTATCCTTAGCTTTATATTAATATCATTACTATGAATCTAAAACAGTATAAAGCCAATCACTTTTGCACAAATGCATTAGCTTCATAATTAGATTTTATTTCTCATTGATCTCCCTATTCTAATCCTTTTCACTTAAGTTCAAATTTGGAGTCTGATATTTATTTTTGTGTTGAGCTATCAGTGCAATGGATAAACATTAAAAGAGTTAGGAAATATGTAGGAGGGATGACATTTGGATTCAAGTAATACAAAAACATTTACTTATCATATGCTGTGGTCAACAAACTTGCCAGGAGACAAAGTATCCAAAAGCTATAGGAGACACTGATGAAAAGGAGACCAGATTTCCTAGTGAATATATTATTTTATTAAGAAAGGGCTATATTAGTTCCATTTTAATATATGCCAATTTCAAAGTCATTTTATGCTTCAGAAAATAGCTATGGTACAGAGATAGAAAAACTTATGAGATTTACATTTGAATAGTCAACAGAATAACATCTGCCTTCAGTGATGTGATGAAACTAGTCTGTCTACTTCAAGTAAAAACAGAGGTTTTCATGTGAATTCAGGTGCCCAGCAGACAATAGCCCATATTTAGTTTTAAATTAATCAATGAGAAGATTTCAACTGAACTTGTTCTTTGCCTGGTCTTTGCACAGGAAGTACGAATTATTGTAATAATTAACAGCAAGTGGATTAGCATTTTCTGTAGGAAAATGATCTATAGCAACCAGAGTTGTATCCTCCACCAAAGCAGGAGCCATATCCACAACCATATAGATATCCTGAGCCGTATCCACAGCCTAAGCTGTATCCACAGCCAGAGCCACAGCCAGAGTAGTATCCACAGCCTGAGCCACAACCATATCCACAGTCGGAGCCACAGCCAGAGCTGTACCCACAGCCTGAACCACAGACAGATCTGTATCAACAGGCAGAGATGTATCCACAACCTGAGCGGTAGCCACAGCCTCCACAGGAGTTCCCCCAGTAGTTGCTGTACATGGTGTCAGGAAGTGAGGTTTCAGTTGAGGGGCTTAACGAAACTTCTGAAGTGTGAATGCCATCTAGTCTTCCACGACCTTTACATACTCACAAGGGTAAATGTATCATGTGTTAAGTGGGTTCCCATCTTCCATTTTACAACCAGGCACCTAAAATGAGCTCACTCTGTGCACAATTTGTTAGGAATTCGTGGTTTATTTGTAGCTTGCCTTAAGTTTTCACAAGCTGCAAAGATAATAAAGTTTCATTTTTAAACACCCACGCTTATACATCTATAATTTTATCTTCCATAATTTAATTTCATGGCCATGACAAAACAGAACACAATCCCAAATTATGTTTGACCTATATATGTGTGTGTGAATGCCAATGCTAAGTTCTTGGAAATCATCCATTAAATGATACTATCAATAGCCAATAGTATTATTATCAACAGAAGCAGCAGCAAAACCAGCAAGAACATTGAAGATCAATTCTTAAGTACAGTCATTTTTAAGATTACTCAAATTACTACAGTCTTTGTGTGTGATATCAGTGATTCCACTAAAATATAATCAATCAATAATTAATATTTACAGGGCTGGGGTTGTGGCTTAGAGGTACAGCGCTTACGTCAAACGTATGAAGCACTGGGTTCAATCCTCAGCACCACATTTAAAAAATAAATAAATAAACAAAATAAATTTGTAAAAAAAATACTTAATACTTCCAGATTACTAGGTTCAGTGGGATATTTTGATCCAAGTATACAAAATCTCAATTTCAAGGAAAAATATTAGCATCCTGAAACACAGAAAGGCTATTATAATAAACATTAATTCATTACTAAAAAGAGTGGATGTCAGTGTTTTTAGCACACAAAAAAATATGCTTATGAGAGTTCATATGCGTGTCATTTAGGTTGTTTTAGTCATTTCACATAGGTTTCTTCATTTTAGTGTCACCTGTCTGCTTCAAAATAATATTTGAACAGGAGATTTACTTATACTACTTTTCTTGGATTCTTCCAATAGTGACATTATTAGTAGTTGACCTTTCGTTGAGGTTACTTACTTGCCCTCTCTTTAATTACATATCACTTTCTCCCATTTTTTTTTTCTGTGACAAATGGGTTTATAGTGCATGACCTCTCTCATTCAAACTCTTTCTTAAATTTCCCCAAATTGGGTCTTTTTTTTTTCTTTTTCTTTTTTCTTTTTTGGCTATCTAATCCTTCATCTTTACTTCTTCTCTCTTTATCTTCTAGGAAATCTTATACACAGCCTTTGACTTACCTATCACATATATACAAATGACTCCTAAAACTAAATGATTTTGTATCAATCTGTGTCCAATCAAGACATATAAACCATCTAGTAGGTCAAATCAAAATGGATCAAAGACTTAGGAATTAAACCAAAAACTGTGCATGGGGTCCATACTCCATTGTATTGGTACAGGCAGCAACTGTCTTAACGAGACCCCTAAATATTAAAAGCCCTGAATGAGCTATGGGCATGTCTGAGCCATCTCTAACAGAGG